TTTTTTTTTTTTTTTTTTTTTAGGTAGAAATTATGTGTACATTCAGCCCTCAGATCTACCAGACTTAATCAACTTCAGATTAGAAAAAATTTTTTTTTGGGGGGGTACCAGGAATTGAACTCAGGACCTTGTGCCTGCAAGGCAGGTGAGGAGCCTCTGAGCTAAATCCCTGGCCCCAGAAATATTTTTTAAGATTGTCCTTAGTACTGAATACGGGCACACTTTTATTCTTGTCATGATTCCCTAAATGATACAATATGACTACTTACATAGCGTTTGGGTTGTATTAGGTATTATAGGTGGAGATGATAGCTCTTTTATATGAGGGGCTTCAGCAGCTGTGGATTTTGGTTCTCTGTGGCTTGTGTGTCCTGTAATCAGTCATCCACAGATACTCAGGACCAACTGTGTTAAGGAGGTACAATGCGATGTTGTGATATACGTATACACTATGAGATGGCTGAGTTAATCTAATTAACATATCCATCACCTCCCGCACTTGTCTTTTTTGTGATGAGAACACTGAAGATCTGCTTGGCAGCAATTTGCAAGTATACAACACAGTATGATTAACAGTAGTCACCACGCTGTACAATAGATCTCCAGAACGTATTCACCCTGTTTGATTGAAACTCGGCACCCTCAGACCAATGTTTCCCCTCCTTTTCCTCCATCCTGTCAGCTTTAGAGGGGACCACATGGCTTGCAAACAGCTGGCTCCCTGTCCTTCTTTCTTTCTGGCGAATGCCAGGTCCTGGGGAATATCAGGTCCTGGTGACTTGGGGGACTAAGTATAGAAAAAGTCTTTGTATGTTTTCATAACCCTCATTTCCTCGGAGGTTTCCAGTCCTGGCTCTATTGGCATTTAGATGGGAACATTTTTTGCTGGTGAGATTGGAGGTGGGAGCTCTCAGTGTGCTCTAGGATGCTGGCAACATCTCTGACTTTTATCTACTACATAACAGCAGGACCCTCCCCGCTGAGAGGTGACAACCAAAAATGTGTCCAACATTGCCAGTGTTCCCTGGGGTAGGGGAGAAGAAGTGCTCTAATTCCTTTCTTCTGGTGTCTCTCAGAAGATGGACTATCCACCAGCTACCGCACCACATCATCACCCTGCTTATCCCTGTGATCCTCCTGAGCCAGCCCCAAACCCAACACCTAGGCCTCCTTCAAAACCAGCCTGATGTTCAGTGTTCTGCCACCTTTTCCTTCTCCTCCCAGAGCACTAGGTTCTATTACCTTTGCCACCTTTTTCTTGTATTTAATGGTTTCATGGAAGCACAGGTGAGGGGCTCTACAGAAATCTTGTCCTTTACACAGGTCTACACTCTTACAGCTGAGACCCCAAGGCTTGGGTTTGTGGTCAAGTTCCAGCTTCCTTGGCTTCTCCACCTCCTGCAGTGTAAGCCCCTGGATGGTGCGATTAACCATGTGCTTTATCTTCTGTGTTCTGACATTTTGACATCTGGGGTCCTGCTGGGACCGGGGCAGTGGCCCTCCCAGGGTTAACCAATTCCTGGAGACAGTAAAGGACTCACTTTGGCGTTTCTATCAAATGCTTGCCTAGCCAGAGCAAACATCATCCCACAGTCTCATTTATTGGGCTCATACTGGGGCCATTATTCCTTTATCCTCCTCGTCCTCATCCCAAGCCAGACACCAGACATCTAGGCACCACAGAATTTACTCACACTAGCAAAACAGAAGTCTGCTTATCACGCCCTGCCCACTCCTTCCCCTGGGAACCACTGTGAGGGCTCCTGACAGCCACCCTCCCTCTCTCTGCCTCCTGACCTTCCAGCTTAAGTGGCCCCCCGTGACATGGCATGTGCGCCCCATCCTCTGGGCCGTGTGAGTATGACAAACCATCTTTCCCACGGCAGTCATCTGATCTGTTGGCCTTCCATACCTAAGTAACAAAACACACCTTGGGACAGGTGGGGACTCATCTTGTTCACTTCCTTGGCCTTGCATCTGTCAGTGAGGGTCAGGGAAGCAAGCTGAATTTCAGCATTACATGAGATTTTTCTTCTAAAGTCGTCCCTGAAGTTTGCATCCCTGGTCTCATGTATTCATTATGCCTGTACAAGATATCACTTGCCCTCTCTGTTACTGCAAGGACGGGGCAGATCATCATGATGTTTGGCTCTAGAATGTTTGGCTCTGGAATGAATCTCAGGGATGATGAAGGATTTTTTTTTTCTCATTAGGCTTTGTCTCAAATGTTACTCAAATAAGCTGGTACCTGCTTAGTTGAGTGACAGGAGAAGATGATTGGGTGAGAAAATTTTAAGATAATGCACAAAGTGCTGAAATCATAGAATCATAGAGGCTTAGATCATCCACATGAGAAAAACATGGGCAAGCACTTGGCACACTATAAAGCAGTCTGTAAAACAAGGTCTAATATTAGTAATAATAACTGTCCACTTGGCCCCTCTACAAGATTCGCAGCCACAGTGATGACAGAGTTGACTACTTTAAAGGTTGACATTTTAGAAAGTCAATTTATTTCCCACTATGGACAGGATATTCCCTCCTACTTGAGTATGTATAATAGACTCAGACACTAAACAAAGATGGTATGTTAACAAAACATGACAAAACCATGCACAGTTGGACCTGTTGAGTGAAAAGCAATTAGCAAATCTGAGAACTGCACTTGCATTTTTATTTAGTCTCTTAAACCAAGCCCAGTTCTTCTTAAACCTTTATTATTATTATTATTATTATTGTTATTATTATTTTTTCAGTACTAGGGATTGGACCCAGGCAGTACTAAACTACATCCCCAGCTGTT